AGTCTTCCATCCCAGCATGCTTTTGGCAAAATATCATAACCCTGGGCCTATTGGTTATCCAGAACAAGTCATTTAAATATTTAAACATATATTGACCACTGTGACCTTGAATATGGGCGAAGGTCATTCATTTTGACAAAATTGGTAGCCCTTTATCCCAGCCTGTTAATGACCAAATATCATCACCCTTGGTCTTTGGCCAATTTAGAAGAAGTCGTTTAAAGGTTTTAAACATATTTGGCCCCTGTGACCTTGAATATATATAAAGGTCATTCATTTGAACAAGGTTGATAGCCCTTTATCCCAGCATGCTACTGGCCAAATATCATTATCCTAGGCCTCTTGGTTATTCAGAAGAAGTTGTATAAAAGTTTTAAACATATTTGACCCCAGTGACCTTGAATATAAGTAAAAATCATTCATTTGAATAAACTTGGTCGCCCTTTATCCAAGCATGCTACTAGCCAAATAGCATCATCCTAGGCCTTTTGGTTAATGAGAAGAAGTTGTTTAAAGGTTTTTAACATATTTGACCCCTGTGACCTTGAATATAAGTAAAGGTCATTCAGTTGAACAAACTTGGTAGCCCTTCATTCTAGCATGTTACTGGCCAAATATCATTAGCCTAGGCCTCTTAGTTATTCAGAAGAAGTTGTAAAAAGATGTTTTTAAGACAATTGACCCCTGTGACCTTGAAAATAGACGACGGTCATTCATTTTTAACAAACTTGGTAGCCCTTATCCCAGCATGTTACTACCCAAAAATCATCACTCTGGGCATTTTGATTATTCAGAAGAAGTTGTTTAAAGTTTTTAACATATTTGACCCATGTGACCTTGAAAATAGGTGAAGGTCATTTATTTGAACAAACTTGGTAGTCCCAGTTTGCTTTTGGCCAAATATCATCACCCTAGGCCTTTTGGTTATTAAGAAGAAGTTGTTTAAAGTAAAATATTGGCGCCGGACGACAGACGCCGGATGGACGGACGACGGCGCTGCACCATGGCATAAGCTCACTTGGCCCTCTGGGCCAGGTGAGCTTAAAAAGAGCGCTAACAAACTTTAACTCTCAAAATTCTAGATTGCTGCCTGTTGGCCATCTCGGTTTCTGATCAACCCCAGAATTCCATTTGCCTAACTAGAGACCATTGAGAAAGATCTCTTCTGTCCTTTCTGAGAAATATAGCTGACAAGAATTGTGGAAGGATGGATAATTGACCACAGACAAAGGGTAAAATGTTACAGTCATGTGAATTGATATACAATCAAACAAGAATGTTTTGAAGAATAAACAATATTTATTTATTTGAAACAAGCTGACCCTTTACCTATCACAAAAGGCAAACAACATTTACCTCTACCCCATAATGCTGTGTCCACAAGTACATGGAAAAGCTATCAACAGAAAAATTACAAAAGTATCATCCTAGTGTACAATGATGTATGGTGGTTACTGTCATAGATATTCCATAACCAAAATCACAAGAATTTTAAGGTGTAGTATACCTAATCAATAAATTATACCCGTGACCTATAATTATCTCCCTTGTCTACAAGTTTACTGAAAAAAATAGACAGCTATTATCCTAGGGTAAAATGATGTATGGTGGTTATTGTTGTAGATATTCGATTACCGAAATAATATGAACTTTAGGAAGTACTCTACCTTAAAATAGATTATACTTGTAATTATCTCCCTTGTTAACAACTTACAGAACTTGTAGAAAAGCTATACAAAAAAAAAATGCTATCGTCAAAGGGTAAAATAATGTATGGTGGTTACTGTTAAAAATATCTCATTACATAAATCTCAAGAATGTTTAGGTGTAGTCTAACTTGTAAATCAATAACACCTGTAATTTTAATTATCTCCCTTGTCCACAAGCACACAGCAAATGCATTCAGAAAAAGAACATAATCTTTTGGCGCAATGATGCCTGGTAACCTTTTCAGATTTTCCTAATACTAAAAACGCATTTTACAGAAAACCTGATTGGAACTCTTTTGTAAAATCAATGCATGTCACAGTAGGGCAGCGTATATCCCTAACACAAAAAGGTATTGGTGCTAATCTGCATATTTGGTTACACCAAATATCTAGAAAAATAATACAGTGACTTCACAAATGTCACCCCTCTTTCAACATATCTAAAAATAGACATGTATTAATTATGACAGTTACAATACTGATAAATTTGAGTTCACATGAGGTACAACAACACTAGTACTACTGTACCCCAGGGAAAACTTTGCTGCAGTATAACATTTGACGTCCATGTAACTCATTAACCCCTGAAATTTCATAATAAACAGTTCCAATCTTTGAATTGGAAGAGTTCAAATGTGTCTTCGGGGGTGAATTAGTTAACTTATTCACCTTCTGTAACGTGGCGAACACATCTAACAATTTGTCTAGTGAGTACATGTCAGGGGTAAAATTAACACACCTTGATATAATGCCCCTTGTTTCATTTGCCAACTCACATATTACATGCACAGGGGCATGGATCGCTTTACTTGTAATATTAAAGAATAGTGGTCTCCTCTACTAAAAAATACAATATTACAGGTAAAGCGATCCATGCCCCTGTGATTCCATGGTCCCCTTTTCTCCTTTATATGCTACCTCAATTTATCGCCAAACCCCTTTAACGCCAAAATATCTCTGGACAAATGATGGCAGTATAACAAGGCTTTACTGTATTTTACTGATGAAAGGACAATATAAGCTTATTTTGACTGGGCAAATTTTCTGGTTTACAGTAATAATTTTGAATATAACACAAAAATTAGGAATCATTTTTAGCAATAAGTATAACAATGCTCAATATTAGAAAAAAAACACTTATCATAACTTTATAATGAAATAAAATTAAATTTCCAGTTTCATTAGCTCACACCATTTCATAAAGCTCCTTGTATCTCTTGAATGTAATAATTTAAGTAAGATGAAAGTTCTTTTTTTTTCAATTTTGATGAAATGATGATAATGGAGACCAAAAATCCAGTCACATTTGTTTCCAACAAAGTATATCTGGATGTAATGTGGCTTGATTTCTAAGTCATTTTTTTTTTTATAGAAAAAAGGTCAATCTGTCTCTTAAAACACTGACCAGTCATAAGGACAAGTGGATAAGTGGTTGTTAAAATTGATGAGGCTTGATGGAATTTTTCAAATCAGTGTTTAATGTAAAAACTATGATTTCTGTGTGATAACTGGTTACATTACTGCCTAAGCTCCTATACTTGAGTTTTTCGAAAGTTTCACAAAAACTTTTTTCATTAATGGATCTCAGAATACACAAGGATTTCAATTGAGTGTGTCCATTTACCAAATTTAGACTCAAAATGATCTTAACCAATGGCATAATGAAATCTCAAATTTAGATGATCATACATCACTTAGTTGAATGACTTTTCAAAGAAATTCATTATTACAGAGTTTTGAATGGAAGAAAAACATTTTCGAGGAATAAAAACGACTTTAAAAAAAATATCTTGAATAGTCAATATACATGTACATCTAATCAAATGTACAAACCTAAAAATTTGAATTCTGTCCAATTAACCCTTTCATCCCTATGTAACTTGAGTAGACTCTACCGTGCATTGTTCTGGATGTGCTCACTCTGGTCTACAGGGATGAAAGGGTTAAAAATGTAAGTTGTTTGTTAGTCAGTATCAAGGTCAAAAATCTAAGTTCTCGAATAAATAAATAAATAAATACAATAAATACAATAACAGAGCATGATATTTTACGGCATATATGTATACAAATATGACTAAAATGACTATAGTATATGTATAAACTACAAGCTGTAACTAAACAACAACATAACAGGATCACAGATATGATTTGTGTATTGAGGTGTAAAAACAATAAATGTAAGAGTATAAAATTGTCTAACAACAATGAAACAGGAGAGAAAAACAGACGAAAGGAAGATTTATCTCGAGACCGATGACGTCATAACAATATACTATTAAATAAATATGAGGACACGTTGTACAGAAAGTTGTGACATCCCTTTCCCTTCAGTTAAAATGCCACATTTTCTACGCCAAAAAAAATATAGGATATTTTTTGTTCTTTAAAAACATTTAGTATACATTTTTTAAACAACATTTAGTATAAACACCTGAAACTTGTTATAAAGTTGTACATATTTAAAAATTATTTTAAAAATACAGGACTTGGTGACAAAACCAAACAGGTATAAAATACTATAAACTATAACATGACCGGTAAGAAATTCAAAAGAAAGAGTACATTATAGAATTGACTCATAAAGGCAAACCAGCAAGATATAAAAAACCAGTAGCTTATGAAAATGTGGTAAACAAGTTTAAGAGTAAGGGTATGTAAGTGAATAATGTGTCTCTTTTTGAATACAGTATATGAAACATAGCATAAAAACATGTAATAATAAGCTTGTTTAATAAATACATTTAGTGAGAATAACCATGAAATATATACAATGTATACTTATATACCTAAACGATGAGGCTACATACTTTGCGTACAGTTATACAAGGACACGTAGCTTGCATACATCTTAACCCATTCACCCCTAAAATCACATTTGAACCTTACCAAATCAAAGACTGGGCAAGTCCATTTTAAATGTGTAGGGGTGAATGAGTTGACTAATAGAATCTTTCACCCCCTTGGGGGTGAGATAGGAGAATCTCAACCCGAGGGGGAGGATTCTTAAGTTGCCAAACACGAGGCTTTGCCGAGTGTTTGGCAACTAAAGAATCTTTCCCCGAGGGTTGAGATTCCACTATCTCACCCACAAGGGGGTGAATGATTCTTTTTCTCTTACCCTGTTCTTTCATTGTGTATCATATGCACAATGTAATGATAACGTTACATGCTAAATTCAGGGTTGACGTGACGTTGATGGATTGTTGACGTGACGTCATTGTATTGTTAAAGTGACGTCATGCCATTGTTAGGAATAGGGGAATCCCCCCGTTTCAACCCTAGGGTAAGACAAGGAAATCTCACACCGGTAAAAATGTGGATACACCTGTCCAGGGTAAGAGAAAACAATATATATATCTTGTATTCTTGTATACCCCAACTGTATGGTCAAAAGAAGATATACCGTGCATACACCATCTTTTATATTTGAATCAATGTATCCGATGCATAGCTTGTAAGTCCCCCTGACATCTTAAATACGAAAAAAATAGATATTTTTCAATTTTCAAAAAATATATAATTCCATATAAAGGTCTAAGACAATATGTAAATTAGGACATAGATTCTTCAAAGTAAGGACAAAAATGGTAAACATTACTTGATAGTTATGATTAAGCTTTATAGAACTTGTCTAAAAGTGTTTTTAAATTTTTGATCCAACTAATGCCTTCTATTTTTAACCTTTATTTCAGACTTGACTAAAATGAAAAATACAAAAAATTAAGAAAATTTCAAAATAACATCTTTTTTTGGTCATTATTCTAAGCTATCTGAGACTAATCAAGTACTACAAATGTAATTAAGTAGCTTACTGTAAAATTGTATTTTTTTTTTGCGTGTGGATATGTTCGTATTTTGACACTGCAGTGTAGAAATTTTCGTGTCGGTGATGTTACTGAAATCAATATTTTCTATACAGCAAAATAATCTATATATTCTGTATAAATAAATACACATACTCATATGTGAATATGTCCGTAAATAAATTAAGCTTTTCATAGGACCTTAAACAAAATACATTGTAAAACCAAATCACTTGTATATATTTTTGCGCTAATTTACTCAATCTGAAAAATGTGAGCAAGATTTTCCAAAATATACAGTTTGCATAGTAAAAAGTTAATTGTAGATAAAAAAAAAGATATACAAGAATACCTGAACAGACAATTACATTTAAAAGAAAATTATCACAGTTTTCTCCTATCACCCGAACACATGGCTTATACAATACACAACTGAACCTGGTGCATATATGTATATATATCTGTACAGGTCGCTTATTTCTTGTTTATTGGGTACCTGAACTTTTGATACAGTTAACTCATTCACCCCTGAAATTTCTTAATGAACTAAAGTATATACCTTTGATTTTGAAGAGTTCAAATGTGTTTTCAGAGGTGAATGAATTGAACCACGATATAATGCCCCTCGTTTTGTTTGCCACCTTAGCTTGTATACAGCAAATATATCTCGGGGCCCCTCTTTCTCTTTTTCTTTAACATCCTTTATATGTCTCTCTCAATTCATTGCCAAACCCCTTTATAATGGCAAAATTTCTCTGTACAAATGGTGGCAGTATAACAAGGTTTTATTGTATAAATCATTTGATACTAAACTTTTATACATCACAACATCATTATATGGTTAAGACTAATGTTAAAAATCACAAATAACCTAGCAGTTTCTTACCACAAGATGTAAGTATACTTGCCAATTTTTTTAAATTTACATGGGGGCGATTCTGCATGCTGAAAATTGAAACACAAATAAAATGTGTGTATACGTATACAACCCCTGGAGACAAAATAACCCTTTATTATGACATATTTTAAGTTCTTTTTTCAGATGAAATCATTAGATCTTAGAATATAGGAACAGATAAACAAATTCACTCTTTGAAAACACAAAATTTAAGGGTCCCAAGTTAAGGTTTAAACTGAAATATTTATTCAAGTGAAGTTCATTTTCACAATAACTACAAGGTCAAAAACCCTCCTGACAAATGTAAAGAATGTTTTATCTTCATTCTATTTCAAGACATTTTGCCCAAAAAATCCTGGAAAAACTATGTTGTTTCGTAATAAATCTCAACAAAAAACTTATGGTATATGTAAAATACAATGCTGCACATTTGACCTATAAATATTTAAACACTCAAATGTGTGATGTCTTAATTTCCTCTTGTCTAATCAAATGGATTTTGATATTTACAATGTATATATAATGCAACATGCACAAATTTATCACAGACAATATTTTTCTGTATACTCTTTGCATAACTATGACTCTTTCAGCTAAATGGCTCATTAAAAAATATATAATTCTCTATACATGCATACTGTACGATTTGTCGTAAGGAATTTTAACTATCACTTCCTGTAAAATTGAATTTCTCCCATATTTCTCAAGAGCATTCCAATTTTTACTAGGGAAAAGACAAACCTGTCCTAGTGTTTTATTTGACAGTGATGTCAGGAAATTATTTTAACCACAAATTTATGGTCAGAGCTTCAATAACGAATATTACAAAATCATTTCATTCTTTTTATAAACAAAGTGTGATATAAAAGGTGATACATGTTTTAACGGAATTTGGAGAAAAAAAAAATGCAACTTATATAATTATATAAATCTGTCTGCAGATTAATTAACATTGTTTTGATGAACATCTGATTTTCAACAGAAATTAATTTTAATATATATATCCATAAAATTTCACATGCAGAGATGTTTTAAGATTAATTCTACTTGATATCGATCACCCTGACCGATCTGACCATTATGTGTTTCTCAAAAAGAACCTTATTCTAAAACAGGCCATAACTCTACTTACATTATCATACATTCCCTATGTGTGAAATGAAGGTAATTATATTCAGCCAGTTAAACAATATGATAAATATCCCACATCTATATGTGAATTTATACTAGATCTATAAATGAAATTTCCTGCATATACATTAAAAAAATGTATGTTATAAGGTAAAAGTACCATCACATTATATAATTACTGATGGCACTGTTTTGTTAGAGTATCCCAATACCACTGCGAAAACACTGTAACTAAGTTACGTATTGTAAAAAAATAATTCTGGCATGATTTTAGCTTTTCTGAAAATATACCTTGCAGGCTTTTAAGTAAAAGTAATTAAGATGAAATAAATAAAATTGGAGTGAAAAAAATTTTGGTGGGGCTAGACCGGGATTCGAACCCTGGATTTCATATTGTTATAGCATCGCTGTAACCAATTGAGCTGTAACCTATTGAGCTGTAACCAACTGAGCTGTAACCGATTGAGCTACCCGATGGTCATAGAGGTATACTAGCCCAAATGTGCTACAGTTATTTCTAAGCAAAAGTTAAGGGGAGGTGACTGTATATAGGAAAAACAGCAGTGCAGGGTATGCTTTAAGTAAATTTGTTTCCAATCCATATAAAACATGTTCTTGCACTGCATTTTCAAGAACTTACAGTTGTTTGAAATATTCAGAAACCTTATCTGTTACTGATTGAGTAATTAGAACAGATGACTGCCAAGCCTTCAGAAACATATTGATATAGACAAAAACACTCCTGAAATGCCAGGGGTCGAACAAAGTCTTATCCACCCCCATTCCTACACTTAACCAATATTGATATCGAAGATAAATGTGCGTTATCAAAATAAAATAAGAACACCTTATGAAGGGAAGTAACTCTAAGCCGTAAAAAAATATTTTCTGTTGCTTTATGCCCTACTTATAAGGTGGATAACTCGGACCTGGGGAAAAAAAACTGAAGAAAAATACTTCTTTGGTTTTTTTTTGAACTATTGCTATGGTATCATTTACCTGAAACCTTTCGAGATTCAACTTTAAATAGTAAAAATCACATGAATTATTAATTAATGTTGTTCTAAAATCATGTTTAATACTTTAAAATTGATATATCAAATACTGCCAGCAAATTAATATTGTTCAAATGATAGTTTAACAGTGACAACTATTTTGACACAGATTTATTATCATTACAATCGTGAATTAGATAAGTTTACGGGTTTGCTTTCTATGGCACACAGCATGCCTTAGCTTCACAGTGGTTATATTCTGCCAGGCCTCCTTGCAAATTAAATTTGACCTTAAGACTTTGAACAATGTGATAGTAAAAAAATATAAAAGATTTGAAAAATAAATCAGAATTTTAGCGGTATGTTACTTATAAATATTAAATTTGTATGATCATTCTTCCACTTCGAATCACCTTTCACAACCGTATAGCAATCAGTATCTTCAATATGATATGTCGTTCCATTGGGAATATTTCATGGAATCTCTTCCAGTCCCGACGGACATCTCACGCACATAGTGTGTTCCATCCCAGCCGCGACTGACCTGGTTCCGGAGGGCAGAGTGGGGCATATGTGTCTTTGGGATGGTCGGAGTGGAGACAAACTCCCCCTCTGGCATGTACTCCCGATGGATTGGCGAAGACAGGTAAGAGAATTGAGACATGGCAGTTTTGGGGCGTCGCATGGTGGCGGCTGGGATATTATTACTGACTGAGTGACGCAGTGAGTAGCTCTTTGGACCCGTCATCAGGTCTGTAAAGAAAAATAATTGGAAGAAGTTCATGAGACTGGTTATTACCAAAACATAAACAAACAAAAAAAACACCAAAAGATAAAAACTAGTAAAGCATTAAAGAACATCATAGAGAAGTTAAACACTGATAAAAATTGCAAATGTTTTGTCTTTAAGAGCTAAATCAAATCATTTGGCTTTAGAATCCAACTGCATAAACAGCCTTGAATTTTGCTGCTAAACTGCAACTCTTTTTTCAGAAATTCAAGATTTGAAATATTTATGAAATTTAAATCAAAATGAGTGTCCAGAAAAACTTGACAGGAAAACTTACTCTTAACAACATTTTTCTTTTTGTTGCTTCATCTTCTATATTGAACGGAGAATACTGTAGGTCAAAAACCATCAAAATGGACCATTTCTTCTTCAAGATACTTATCGCAGTGGTACATACTGGTATACCATTTACCTTAATTCATTCACCCCTGAAGACATATTTTAAGCTCTTCCAATTCAGAGGTTGGAAGAGTTCATTATGAAATTTCAGGGGTGATTGAGTTATTGTTAACACTAGTATCTTACCATCAAAGGATTGGCGATCTTGCAAGTGGTCCTGATATCGGTTAGAAATTCTTGGGGGTTCTTGGCAGGCAACTGAAACACAGATGTTATTCTAGTAAAATCAGATTAATTAGAAAAATAATCATACAAATGAACATGAATAGCATTGGTATTAAGATCAAGATCTGAAACTCACTCATTCACCCCTACATATTTAATTTGGACTTGCCCAACCTTCGATTTGATAAGGTTCAAATGTGACTTTAGGGGGGATTTGGTTACTCTTTTGATACATCACCCTAAAATATTATTGAATAAAATATTTTAGGGCTATCACAATGAATTGGAAAACCGATGTATTTCAATACACATATATGGTATCATATTGCAATACAGTAATGAATATCGCTGTATCGCAACAGAAGTGACATGAAATAAGAAGAAAAAATTCATTTTACTCTATATTATTTCAAATAATCGTACAGAATATATCATAAATACAAACCTGGAGCTGAACCAAAGAGAGGCTCTTCAACATATGAATTATCACGCACACGGTGGTATTTGTTAAACAATCTGCAACGAAAATTGTGTCACGTAAAAAACTCCATATTGAATCAACATAAAACATATTCAATTTACTTTAACCCTTTCACCACTGTAGACCATAATGGACCCCTCTATATCAATGCATGGTAGAGTCTACTAAAGTTACATAGGGGTGAAAGGGTTAAGCTATTACCTGTGTACAGCATAAACGGTTGTGTTTTAGCTGATACAGCTACTTTATAGAGCCAGGGTATTGGATATTACATTATTGGGTTTGGTTTTATTTTGTTTAACGTCCTATTAACAGATAAGGTCATGACGCAGAATATTTAAAATGAAAAACATGTTCTGTACATGTTTTGTAAGCTATTCTGTATTAAATTAAAATCATATTTCTTGATCATATGGCCTAAAATCAGTAAATAAACTTGTATGTGATGCCGTATGTTTCAAATTGTTTCCCATTTTACCGGTTGTAGATTTTTCTGTCACTCCTCTTATCTGACCTTCCTCTGGCCCCGCACCAGACTATGACATTTTGACAGATAGATGTACCATACATCTATCTGTCAAAATATCTAAGTCTGGTGTCGTACCAGGCATCTATCTGTCAAAATGTCTAAGTCTGGTTTCGTATCGTTTCTATGGGGCACCGTTTTGGTATTTATTTAAAAAATGTGATATCATTAAATCGATTTTATGATATCATAAAATAGACGTATTTCATGATATCATAAAATCGATTTAATGATATCACAAATTTGAATTCATGATATCATAAAATAGCCGGATTTAATGATATCATGATTTTGAATCAATGATATCATAAAATAAGAAAATGTTAGCACGAAATAATGAGTTCTACCCATCTCAGTTTTAGTCTATGGACAACAAAGATGTATATTTAAACGCTTGGTTTTGTTGCATTGTCTATCTGAAATGGTGTGCTGATCCGAGGTGCCGAGACGAGAATAACTGAATAATATAGAACGAATATATCGATGGATCATACACCTTTTTGGTCTGACCCGATCTACAGTTCTCTGATATAGACCGCTAACGTTAGGCCTAAACTCATCTTCAATTTCATTGTCCAATGCTCTTGGATCATTGGTCACCATTCAATCCATCTTCGTCAAATTGGCGCGAATGGCAATCCAAACAGAATTACCGTTCTTTAATTCCACATCCGCTTTCTGAGGGAGCAGTCCTTAGAAAAATATATTTTATGATATCACAAATTTGAATTAACGATATCATTATATCGTGCGATTTAATGATATCATTAAATCAAATTAATGATATCATAAATTTGAATATATGATATCATAAAATCGATTTTATGATATCATAAAATCGATTTTATGATATCATAAAATTGATTTAATGATATCACATTTTGTCAATAAATACCAAAACGGCGCCCCATACGTTCCAGACATCTATCGATCAAAATGTCTAAGTCTGGTGCTGTACTGGATAACTATCTATCAAAATGTCTAAGTCTGGTGTCTAACCAGACATCTGTCTATCAAAAGGTCTAAGTTTGGTGTCTTACCAGACATCTACATTTTATCTGTCAAAAGGTCTAAGTCTGGTGTCTAACCAGACGTCTATCCGTCAAAATGTTGAAGTCTGGTGTCTGGGCCAAGGGAAACTTGGGCTATCATTGTCCCTACCCAATGGAAAGTATTATTTTTTCTTTAACCTCATAGAGTATATCAGATGTACAGTGACTGAATTGTGCCATTTTGTTGTTTTTTCTTATTGTCATGATAGGACAAGATGTAGTCATATTTAATTAAAGTTATTTCCTTACTTTTTGCACAAAAAAGAAGATATGGAAAAAAAATCTTGTTGTTTTGTCTTTTCGTGTAGAAAAAGACAAGATTTAGTAATTTTTAATTCTGGTTGTTTCATCTTTTCGTGGCGAAAAGACTAAACAGCGAGAATTGAAGTTTTTTTATTCTCATTTTTTGGGGGTGAAAAGACAAAAGAATGAGACTGATAGTTTGTTGATTCTCTTTCTTTCACTCCGAATGAACAAAAAACAAAATGCCACAAATAAGCCACTGTACAGATGGTGTGTAAAAAGAAACAATACAATAATGTCACAGGAACAATAAACATGACATCACAAAAAGTATTCAATGGGAGAACTTCTTCAAAAATAGCCATGATAGACATTATTTTTCTCATATTAGTTGGTAAATTACAGTATGGGGTTGGGACACTAGGACCAGAGAAAACGGTGGGGAGCACTTTTAAAGGGTTGAATTTATGTCAGATAATGCTATGAATGACATTGGCTTAGATCAGCACCTTTAGCATAAAACTACTGTATACTGGGAATTTTCTGTCGAAGTTTTACGTTCGTTTGTTTCATCTTCCGCAATGAGGGCAAAGTTATCATGATAATGAATACTAGTATACGACATATCATAAATAATAATTACATGTGAAGGGCTAAATTAACGCTGGGCGAACATGGAGTTTCCCGGTGAAGGGTGAAATTAACGCTGGGCGAACATGGAGTTTACCGGTGAAGGGTGAATACTTGACTGAGCGAATGTCTGGTATATCATATTCTAACAGAAATGAGTTTTCTTAGATTTGCATTAATGCCTGATGTTCTTTGTAATTGTTAACCCTTTCACCACTGTTGACCCTAATGGGCTCATCCAGATTAATGCATGGTAGAGTTTACTAAAGTTCCATAGGGGTTAAAGGGTTAATGATCACTATACCCTTTCATATGTCATGTTAGTCTATTAGTCTAGACTTGGTTTTCTGTAAAATGAAAATCAACGTAAAGCTAAAACAATTTGTGTGATTATAAAACTAATTTGTATGAAAATGCCCCCCCCCCCCAAATAAAAAAAAAATTGATATAATTAATATTCGGCTTGAATCGCTGCTCACTTAGTATGTAAGTTCACACAACTGTTTCTGATGTCATTAAAAACCCACACCACAAATGGAGGAGGCGATTGCGAACCAAGTCGTCTTATTGTTGTGTGTGACTGTTGTAATTGGGTTGATATATGCTTCATTTTTTCTATTCTTTGAATGTCATTTAAGTTATATACTACACACATACGTACCTCCGTACTACAGGAATAAAACGAACACTGTTGGCCCGGACGAACACACCTTGATTCTTATTGCAGGTAAAATACCTTCGTCCCAACACCATACCATCATTGTCTCCAGCTACAAAGGAAAATGGAAAAACATGCTCATCTTCAATGGGATACTGTAAATGCACTTATTTTAGTGCATTTAAATTTCAGGGCTCTCAAATTAAAACAGATGCATAAATTAAAGTTCCTATATATTGTTCTTTATTGCATATTTTGGGGTGCAAAAATTTATCAATGCAATGAATTTGTTAGCACAGTAGTCTAGTGGTAGGATGCCGGGCTTGTGACCGAAGGAGTGGCGGGTTCAAGTCACGGCACTGCACTGTGTTGTATCTTTGAGCAAGATACTTTACTCCGCTTGTTCCAGTCTACTCAGCTGTATATGAGTATGTGATTGGGCAGTGCTAGAGAATTGTTGAATGCTAGCTGTGAGTGCCGAAATAGCAGCACTGGCTGTGGAGGGACCCAGGGAGCTGAGAAGGATATTGGCTGGTTGCAAAGGCCCTATAACCACAGATAATAATTTGTGAACTGCTTTGCAATGAACTATGAACTTGGTTGTGATAAAGCGGTATAAGAACCTCAAACGATTACAATAAATAGTAACTTCAATTTGTGTAGTCACAATTTAGCACAAAAAGTGCTGCTTAAATATGTACTTTTACAGTAATATGATTTAAGCTTGTCATTGAATTTCCCAACTTCGCGAGCCAAAGTTGTTCAATATGATACTCTCCTTTTCACCATAGCCAGGAGAGTATCGTATTGAACACCCTTGACTCGCGAAGTTGTGAATTTCCATACCAATGTGAAAATTTCATTTTTAAGATTGATAAAAAGTAAAAACGTGAAAATCTGCACTTATATAGTACTTACCTGGAACATCCAGACTGACTCCAACCCACTCCCCTTTCCTGCTGACCACTGTCCCTTTGTACTTGACCATTCCCCTAAACACGGAATAGCCTATCTTGACCTCGACTCGTTGACCGACGTTGATGTTGTGGTGTAGCACCATGACTAAGATCTGTACTGACTTTTGTGTTGTAGAAGGTAGTTGGTTTCTCAGTAAATTCTTACCATATCACTGTCATATAAAAAAACAGAATGTTAAAATTTCAAGAAACAATGACAAATTCAAACATAGCACTATTTACAAGACCATTGTGCCTCGGGTTCGAAACCTTTGTGGGGCAGTCACGATGGCCAGGTACTGGCTGTAGGTCAGTGATTTTCTCCAAGTTATCCAGTTTTCCTCCAACACCAAACCTGGCTTGTCGTTAAACGACCATAGCTGTTAGAAAGAAAAGCATACACAAACCAAACTTTACAGAATACAAGACAATCCTCGAAAATTAAGTTTATTGTTTTACATATATCTGTCTGACTTGTAAATTCCTCAAAAATGCAGTTGCAATTTTTTTTAGTTTTTGGTATCAAATAATATAACTTTGTATATTATTGACCATCATAGTATCAAATCATCAATGTTTTTCTCAATTTCTTTTCACTAGCAAGGGTTAATTTCATATATCTAAGTAGACAGTATAGCTTAAGTAAGAAATTTGTGGACCTAGCTTATCTAAAAGGAATACAGTATATTACAACATTTTTTGATGAAAAAATCAAACATTATATTTCAGCACATCAATGGAACAATCCTTTTTTTTCAATAATTGCCCTAATTAGGGGTCCCTATACATGCATGCATTAGAAACTTTTTTTCCAGCAAGATACATGTAACTTTGATAACTCATTTCTTACAAGAAAACCATACCTTACAGGACATGACAAATGATAAAGATAAAGTTAACAAAACCAAATCAAACAGAAGCCTCCTGAGTGTAAAATTCCACTAGATCTAGACTAAGATTTAAACTCTGGACCTAAAATTGGTTTACTTAACATTCTCCCCTACCAACTGAGCTACCTAGGTAGTAAATAGAAGTGTCCTGGCTCATCTGGACTACAGTGAGTTAAATCCAAAATGAAACTAAGGGAAGATCGCTGTACAACCACAGTAGATTTTCTAGTGTTCTACATGCAGTACTAGTGGGACAAGGATCCTTAACTTGTTCTACATGCTGTACTAGTGGGACAAGGATCCTTAACTTTTAGAGTGTGAACAAAAGGTTGGTTATACATTCAAGCTGAAAAGAATTATGTCTAAAATCACCAAATCTTTCCCAGCAGACATCTTTGAAGATATAACACATGTACATGTATTGATGGCTCAATACACAAACATAAACTTAAGAAATATCAATAAACATCTGAAGTACAACTATTTTTGTTAACAATCAGTTCTGTCATCAGCTATAGAATCATTATATTTTGTTTTTAAATACCTTACCTGTTTTGATATTTTATTTAAAATCTTTACAGCAATACAATTGAACTTGGCAATACGTATGTGTTAGCTTATCATAACGAATTCATAAACAAAGCAAACACCAGGAACAATCAGAAGCACCCGCATAATGAATATTCTGATGTCAAAAGTGTTGGGTACAATTAAGGTATTTAGGATTGGTATAACTTTTAGCTTCTGTATTAGGGCCTGGGGGTTTATATTAATTTTATGATTTATTTTAACCTAATCAGTACAGTATTGATCAATATAGCGATCAGAGCTCCAGGGATCAAAAGTCACAAGACCTTTCTGGAGAAACTACCTATAATTATAAAAAATCATTGCCTGCATGTAAAAGGCAATCAAAAATTACATACACTGACACATCAGCTTGTTGCTACATTATATTACTGCTAGTTGGGAAAGTCGTCATACATTTTAGTGTTACAGGAAGAGAAAAGTGCATGCGTGGGCACCTACTGGGGGTTTGTACAACTATCCCCAACACTGTCCCCAACCCCCAGCCCACTGCTCTACCAATTGATCTAGTGGGTATATTGCTTTAGTGTCTATTTTTATTGTAAAGCTAGAGGCTGACTGTAAACGGACATTTGTATACATATACACTCAAAATCTATCACACTAATATGTAAATTCCCTATATATTAATTAGCTCATTTAGTGGTAAAGCGTCTGGCAAGGAACCTATATGAATCAGGGGTTCGATCCCTGGTGGAAGCACACTGTTCTCTTTCCTGTTACAAATGCTGTCCGTGGCCCTTCCTGTGGTGACCGGGAGTTCGAAGTTGGGTTGTCTAGATATATATTTTAGGATTAAACGGAAGCAAGTCGAACATGGAAAATTTTGACTGAACACGGCAATGATATATACTAAACAACACAGCCCTTTGTTCTAACGAAAGTGTTGTTGCACGTTTGACGGTTTGTTTATATGTGATGGTCTGGCAACCAATGAATAATTGATCACTATTTTATCTTTTCCTACACAAATTCAATATACAAACCGAAATCAATTGACCATGTATACATTAAATGTACCGCTACATGTTGATGCACCTCGCTATAATGTATATGGTTACCTTTTGAGACGAAAGTATTCCTGTTCAAATTACAATCCAAGCACCTTCTCCGCCATATTGTTTAAAGCTTATACTCCATTCGAGTCTCTTTAGAGTTGAGATGATTCACACACAGAAAAAGTAAGAGAGTTGCGAGTAGTTTTCGTTTCTATGAACGATCCGTGTCCTTTTTGTGTTTGGCACACAGGGTATCCAGTTCTTGTGTCATGTAATATAAATCGGGGTTACATAGACGCTTCGGGCACCTGTCTGTTTTCAAAGCTGTCAGCGCGTTTACAATAAGTGCGATCGGGAAAATTTCAGTCGCATGTACACAACATAATAAAGGATTACAAACCGTGTGTATTGACGTTAACGAACCGTAAAGCTTAGGTTTATCAGGCAGATGAAGTCATTCACCCTGTCACCAAAACATGCGAAGATAAAAATCAGTTAAAGGTTTAGCTTAGCAAATGTACAAAGGGTAATACAAAAATACGTTACGCTTATACTGTATTGCATGGGCACGGTGTATATTATATGATAAGCCCGGGAAGCTGTTTAGCACTAACGCATTTATTTACATTAAAATGTAAATGCAGTTCTCGAAGACGGTTATCTATATAATGCCAAAAGTTCGACTAACATGCAATTGTACTGTATACATATCGTATGTATTGAACGTCGGGTGGTGATATCTGTGCATGTGTAAATATATAGCACGCGAGAAAAACGTGCCATCGTCAACATTAAACGAATTGCAAACATTATCAGTGTTTATCTCGACATTATATGTATGCTAGCAAGGTGTAATAATTAATTAAGCTAGGATAATTATGATTTTTAATTGCTCGTAATGACAAACAAAAGTGAAACGTGTTAACACTTGTGTTAATTAAGTAATTATGTTACATGTATACTGTCCTAACACGGGATTAGATTATCTACGTCCGTGGTCCTAATGATCAGTAATTATAGTTTGTCCTGCAACATAACAGTATATAAAATAAGCATGACAGAAAAGATATATACATATATTATATAATATTAAAAGAAAAACTCTTAACATCACGTCTTTAGCGCATATATATACATGTATGTAACAAGACAGGAATTGTAGTGCACGGCCAAACCGGGATTATAACCTACATGTATGACCATCCGAACTCTAGACGAACGAACCATTTTTTTAATTTGACCCTGAAGAGAAACGATACCCTTTACCACCTTCCGAGGGTATATTCCGTTGGGTGTCAATTGTAACAAGAGAGAGAAAAAAATCATTCGTTCATTCATTTCTAGAATTCGACACCGTCCAGTTCAGTTAAACATCTACGGTTGACGGGCGTCAAACTATATATAGCTACATACCTTAATGCATATTTAATATTTCTGCCTCCACTTACATTCCAACTGGGTCTTTTTTGTTTCAATATTACATGTATATATATACATGCAGCTGCTGGTATATATAGATATATCAAATATCTAACAACACAATCCATATTTATTACAAATCTGCAAACAATCTTTGTTGTGCCATAAAAGGTATTATATCGACTTTCGGTAAACATGGGATGCCACCCCCGGGCCCAATGGTTATCGACTTTCGGTAAAAATGTCACCCCAATGATTATATGGTTAGATCGTCTTACCGAAAGTCGAAATTTCATTGTCTGCCTCGATATCAGCCGGTTGCTTTTTGTCTGCTTCGATATCAGCCTATTTCTTTGTCTGCTTCGATATATATCAGCCGGTTATTTCTTTGTCTGTCTCGATATCAGCCACTATTTCTTTGTCTGCCTCGAGCTCGAGCTCGATATCAACCGGTCATTTTATTGTCTGCCTCAACATCAGCCGGATATTCAAGTATCTGCCTCGATATCAGCCGGTTATTCTTTGTCTGCCTCGATATCAGCCGGTTACTTTTTGTCTGCCTCGATATCAGCCGGTTATTTCATTGTCTGCCTCGTTTTATCTGTTATTGCATTGTCTGCCTCGATATCAGTCGGATAAACCTTTGTCTTCCTCGGTATCAGTCGGTTATTTCATTGTCTGCCTCGATATTAACCGGTCATTGTCTGCCTCGATATCAGCCGGTCATTTCATTGTCTGCCTCGACATTAGCTGGTTATTCTATTATCTGCCTCGATATCAGCCGCTTATTCTTTGTCGGCCTCGATATCGGCCGGTTAAATCTTTGTCTTCATCGATATCAGCCGATTAAATCCTTGTCTGCCTCGATATCAGCCGGTTATTCAATTATCTGCCTCGATATCAGCCGGTTATTTAATTGTCTGTCTCGATATCAGCCGGTTATTCTTTGTCTGCCTCGATATCAGCCGGGTAAATCTTTGTCTTCCTCGATATCAGCCGGTTATATTACTTCATTATCTGCCTCGATATCAGCCGGTTAAATCTTTCTGTCCCTTGCCTTCAACTGTTTGCCTTGAGAGCGGGAAAAAGCACGGCAAGACGGGGATTCGAACCCAAGACCCTCCAAACTATAGATGGACGTTTTACGAATTAGGCTACCTGATCGCCGATGATCGGTCCAGTTCCGCTAATTATAAATACACATACAGTATGCGAACGAAAAACAAAAGAATTCGGGACTAATTTCTAAATTTGTATTTTAATATTCATGGCGTTGCCACTATAAGTCAAAAGCAAACGGCAATGGTAGACACAGTGTTGTATGAGTGCATAAGGGTAGTATTGTATAATACTTTTGAATCCTGTTGTCTTGAGGTTTATGGGGTCTTGAGACAAGTTTTACATGAATTGCTTTGCAATCCTTATATTTACATTCAGTGACATTTTAATGTTCTTAAAATTTCTGAAATATCGGACTAATGCAAGTCTAGTGCCACGGTAGGTGCCGCACTTATGATGATTTGCTGATGCCTGCATACGCCATCTGGACAATTTATGGGAAAAAAACCTCAAGCTCTTTTGGTAGGTATATTGAGTACAAGTTTAGAAGAAATGACAATAATCAATTCATAAAGAAATTTGTGTAATAAATAATAGGCAAAATATAAGTATTAGGAAATTGAACTTCTATAAAGCAAAGATCATGTTGTCACACCACAAGAAAACGAATCGAATGAATAGGTGCAAACATGTTTCTAAACATATTTCTTTAACGTAGTTGCCGTTGTTTGTCATTTGAACTGAATCAAGGCTCAGTGAATCTCCGTTCGGCAGAGTTCAATATAATAAAATACCAAATTTTTGAAAAACATCTTTTCATCTCGAAGCTGAGAGGCAGCTTGTAAATGTATCCAAAAATTTAGAAAACAAAAGCCCCCGAAAGGTTCTACACATCTGTGCGTGTCTAAAGTTCCCTTTACATAGAACGCGACAAATTATTCTACTTATAAAAAGAACATCCTAATTTCAGAAGACGCAAAAATTATCCTAGTTACATAAAACACAAAAACAACTTTGTTACTTCGAACATGCCAAACCAGTCTGGCATCATTAAACACAACAATCAGTGAATCATATGTGTACATGTATATCAGAAAACAGCTTATTATCTTCAATTCAATTGCCTGAAAGCGACAAACAAGCTTAGTTTTAAAGAAGTAAATTTACTATCATGATATTAAACGCGACAAACCGAATATTTTCCCCCCCACAGAACATGAAAGCCTTTCTAGCTATACGAGCGCAACAATCTATCCTCTTAATAAAACGCGAAAAATCAGTCTAGTTACATGAAATACTAAAAACCATCCTGGTATCATGAAACGAGAAAAAATATTCAAATTACATAGAACGCGACTAACCGTTTTAATATTACACAGGGCGCGATAAACCGACCTAGTTACAAAGAACGCGACAACCATTCTAGTTACACAGAACGTGACAAAAATTCAAGTTACATAGAACGCAACAAACATCATAGTTACATCAAACACGATAAACTGTCCTGATTGCATTATGTACATAAAACGTGACACACCATATAAGTTACATAGAATGCTATGAATCATCCTACACATTCTTTGACAAACATCCTAGTTACATAGAACGCGACAAACACCTTAGCTACATAAAACGCGACAAACACCTTAGCTACATAGAACGCGACAAACACCTTAGCTACATAGAACGCGAAAAACATCATTGTTACATAGAACGTAACAAACACACTAGTTACAAAGAACGCCAAACACATCCTTGCTAAATAGGACGCGAAAAACATCTTTGTTACATAGAACGTGACAAACACATAATTATTTAGATACAATACGATAAATATCATAGTTACATCAAACACGATAATCACCCTAGCTACATAGAACACGAAAAAACATCATTGTTTCATAGAACGCGATAAACACACTAGTTACAAAGAACGCCAAACACACCATAGTTAGATAGAACGCGACAAATAGTATAAGCTTCATAAAACTCAACTTACCGTTATAACGTAGGTTCTCAATAAAAAACACTCCACGATAAACAATCCTACTGTAGTTATATAGGACGCAATAAAACACGTTAATTACATAGAACGGGACAACTCATTCAAGTTACTTAGAACGCGACTAACCGTTCTAATTGTACAGGACGCGACAAATCATCCTAATTATGCAGAACGCGATTAACCAACCTAGCTACATAGAAAGCGACAAACCATTCAAGTAACTTAGAACGCGACTTACTGTTCTAATTGTACAGGACGCGATAAACAATCCTAGTTACATAAAACGCGACAAACATCCTAGTACATGTAACATAGAACGTGACATATCATTCAAGTACCTTAGAACGCGACTATACGTTCTAATTACACAAAAATCACCCTAGTTACATCAAACGAAATGAACTGTCCAAATTAGTTCTTGACAAATAGTCCAAGAAAGAAATGAATTATTACAAATAATGAAACAGACATTTTAAATCATTTAGTAATCCTCAACTTTCTTTGCTAGGGTTTCACTTTCCAAGCAATGTTCAGTGCGCGTGCGTGCTTCGCTTGAATTTAAATCCTCAAACGAATTGTTAAGAATAGGAAGGCAAGGGAACAGATCCAATGGTATGGCTTCTGTGGAAATTGGTGTCGGGTCCTCGCCAGATTCATTGTTTATATCTTTCTGAAAACGTTTAAACTGTGATGTCGAATCGTCCACCATACTACTACTATTTGTATTTGAAAAATCAAGCAAAGGAGATGCATATGTTCGGACAACATCCTCAACATTTTCGTTTTCTAGCATAAAGTCAATGTCAGACAAACTGTTACTCAATAATGCTTTAGTTCTCTGATCACGATATTGGAATTGTTCCTGGTCTTTAATGGGTAAGTTCTCACATTGCGTTTTAACTGTCTTCGCTGCTGTTTCATCATCAATGCTATACTCGAAATTTGCTGATTGAAAATGCGTATTTCTATCATTGATACCGCCTGAGAGGTTTTCGTCAACATCACCCGAACTCAAATCATCAGTCATTTTCAAAACAACCTTCTGTTCTGTTTCTTCGTCAATCGTGAATTCGATATCGTAAATGTTTTCATTTCCTGGGTCCGGCTGGGTTAGACACACATTAGTTGTGTCTTGGTCAGTTTCACGGGGCTCCTGAAGTAAAAGTGCAGTTGTATCTTGGTCTTCGCTTTCCTCAATATCATCAGTCTGAAAAATATAACAAAGTAATTTTATTAAGGATTCCCGTACCATTGTAAGCATAATTATGTTACTATGCATTTGACACGTTTCATACGGCATGCATATAGCTTGATAACGTTCTGATGGGGTCCCTCACGTATATCACGTTCTAATCAAGGTGTGACACGTTTTTCACGTTCTGTCAAGGTTTTCTACAGAGGAAACGTGGACGCCGGGCAGCTTTGGAGCACGTTTGTGCCCCACGGCATGAAAAGAAAGCCTCCCAAGCAATATCAACCATTGTATCCTGAGACTCAAATGAAGCTCTCCTACCTGGCCCGGCTTTGATATACTCCCTCCCAGACTGCGCGCGCCGTGTCAGACCGTAGTAGAACGCAATGTGCCGTAGCGCGACGGGCCCGTAAACCGTCTCACGCCGGGACGCGCCGTGAATGAACGCGACGAAACGGCTACCATACACCCTAGGCCTTGCTTGTCGTGAGAACCGTGACAAAACGTGGCAGTTTAAAAATCTGGCCCGGCATCCACGGCAATCACGGCCCATTCCGTCCCCCACGTTGTCTCACGTCCATCCCGCTTTGTCCACGTTGGCCTGAAACGTGACTGCCGTGGCCGCCGGGAACATAATGTAAACGTAGCATAACCAACTGAGCCACCTAGTCTAAATTTAGACGACGCTAGTCTCACAGGGACATGCAAATTTGTTACAGCTATATTTGGACCTAAACTAAGGTGTTCAGAGTAATTTTATATGTTTTAGGGGTTACGTTCGACTTTCGGTATATACGAGAATGGTTGAAAGCTCTCTATGTAGAAAAGTCAACCCTAGCGAAAGTTTGTGCATTAACAAAAACATTTCTAGTTGACGTACGAACAAATGCTTAGCACCGTTATAAAGATGGGTAATTTTTCTTTTAAAAACCTCCTATACGCACGTAAAATGTATTCTTATTCCGCAGACATGATCTCCGTTTCCTCCAAAAAACACGCCGCATTTCAGAGTTTCAAAGGTTTTCGCAGTCATAGTGTCACTTTTTGTACTGTATATTCATGAAGTTGACGTCAGCCACGTGCCTGAACCCGTGGTGTGATTGGCTGGAAACGCAGCCATTATTTCGCTAGAATTACCAGCCAACTAACACTGCATGTTTCGGCACGAGGTAGACGTCAATCTCATGAATGAAACTCTGATTGGCGTATGCTTTTGGAGGAAGCGGATATAAACCTTTAAAACATGTATAATTACTAGCTCTGAACACCTTAGTTTAGGTCCAAAAAAAGCTATAATATATTCTCAGGTCTCTGTGGCTAGTCTTTGTTCGAAAATAATACGGTTGAATTCTCCAGTGTTTGGACTTACGAAGGGACAGGGATCCTTAAAAGGGATTGTTTGTTTGTGTGCAAAGTATTGTTTAGATTATCCATCTTTATTATTTTACTAAAAACATTTGAACGTCTGGAAACACTTTGGATGCACATATATGTAGTTTTATCCTTGCTTGTTACAAAAGAAATCATATTTATCAGGATCCATGTCCCACTTAAAACAAACCACTGTTTATTCGCCTAGTGATGTAGTGTAAGCTAATATTGCAATACAGCAATATTATGGTATAATAAAATACAGAAACAGATTAAAAATATCACGCTTCATTGTATTCGACTAATACATACTTGCAAAATATGAAAACATGTTTTCATACGACAGACTATATCATCTGGCCCCGGGATCTGGAAACTTTTTCATTTTCAGAACGTACTTTCTCAAAATCAAAAGAAGTTCTCAAAAAAGTGGATCTCAAAGGCATTCCTAAATATTTGAGAACGTACATAACTACGAATTTGTTTTTGGGAACTTAAGCGGCCCGTTTGGAGTTCTTTTTTAAGAGGAGCATTATTAGTCTAACAAAATACAGCAGGAAGTTTAATGGCATGGTTTTGAAGTAAGTTTCAAGTTATACTTGCGCACTTAGCATACTAAATATTTGCGCGAATTGTGAACTTAGAATTCGAGTTGACTGACTTGCGCAACTTGTCGTCTGCTTACATTAAAGTTAAGTTCTAAAACTAATGCAAGAATATTTGAGATCCCGGGGCCTGTTCAATATCATGGGCTAGTGAAATTCACAACATCTGTTAGATTCAATGAGTGCAACCCGAGTAGAAATTGAAACATATTTGATTGAAAACGAGTGAAATGAAAATTATCTTACCTTTTCTTTCGTGGCTTTATGTTTGTTTTTAGGACAGCCATCAGAAAAAAGTAAAACAATAACTAATACACAAATTGCAAAGATGTTGAGAAGTACAGCATTTATGACCCAGGCTTCAACTTCCAACGAGTTACATCGTTTTGTGACACCATCCAATTGCTGAACGGAACCATACGGGCATTCTTTGACGCAGGTTTCACGGTCATAGACAAACATAGTGAGGCCATCCGAGCAGGTATATTCCGTTATGCAGGTATTGTTGATTTCCACAAAGTTGGCCTCTCGACAGGTTTTGACGCAAATAGGTGGTTTAGAATTTTTAGATACGTTAAAAGGTTTAGAAGAAGGACAAACATTCACACACATGTTGTCAAAATAGTATTTTGTTGATGGGCAGTTTTTCACACATTCTCTACCATTGGTGTATTTATATACAGGATCTGAACACGACATTCGACATGTACTACCCTTATCTGAATGTTCGATGAAACCATATATATCAGGACATAGATTTACACACGTCCCATTAAACGCGCTCATATTGTTTGGACACATATCAAAACATCTGTCCAGCCATCGTAAAGTGTTGTTGGGGCAATGGTGCAGACATTCTGTCGTCTGCAATCCTCCCACCTTGCGGGTATACGTCATTTTGTACGATTCTGAACAGTTAGTAACGCAGACGCCATTCAAACTCATTGTTTTTGGCGGACAATGCTTAACACACGAATTGTTGTATCGGTAATATTCAACAGACCCGGACGAATTCCACTGACATTGTTCAACACAATACGTTAACATTTGATGGTAAACAACGAATTGACGGTAAGGATTGATTGTGATCGTTTTGTTTAAAGACAGATGAAAAGGCTGTGTTGAAGGACATCTTTCAGAGCATTTCCTTTTAACGACGTAAGGAGTTGAACTAGGACACTCTAACTGACAGCTGTTCCCGACACTAACCATATCACTTGGACAAAATGACACACACGAATTATTTCTGCTGAGAACAAAAGGATGTGAACTAGGACATACTGCATGACACGTACGATTAAACACGAAGGTGTTTTTAGAACAGCGCTTCACACAAATGCCGGAGTCATTGATAAGTGGAAGCGGGCACACACGCGTGCAATTGGAAGCGCCCCTACTTATGGAAAACCACTTTATATAATCTGTATAGAGAATGCTGTAAGATTTGGGACATTCCTCGTGACAGGTGTTATTTAACATGTGCGTTGTTGTCGGACAAAAATATACACAATTGTTTTGATACATGAAGTTTTGATTATCAGGGCACTTATCAACGCAAGTTATTCCATTTCGGTATGTCGCCTTGTAAGGCGTTGCTGGCGGACATTGTGAAACACACGATTGGTTTGATGCAAAACTGCCATCTGGACATCGTTGTGTGCACATATTCCGATACAAATACATATTCTGCGTACACTGATCCACACATTTGTACGGCATATATGTAGCTTCATACAAATTCGGACAGGATGATACACAGGTTGAATTTAATATAAATTGATTTGAATCACATTTGGCAACGCAAGTCTCGCCATGTAGATACAAATTATCAGGACAGGAATCAACGCAAAGAGGTTTCCTTATACTGTAAATCTCTATGTTTTTGATCCAAATAAAAGACGCAGAATTCGGACATGTTGAAACACAAGTCATGTTAAAAAGAAACATAGCATCAGGTGGACAGACGATTTCACACACACTGCCATTTCTCATAGTAAATACAGGGCATGTTTGCAAACATCTTTTTGTGTTTCCAAACACAAGGGACACTGGATGAGACTCCGGACATTTAGAGAGACATGTTCGATTGTGAATGAATGTATCCTGTGGACAAACCGGAACGCACTTATTTCCATACAGAAACGTATTTTGTGGGCAATCAACTACGCATCTATTATTATTTATAACTGTTGCGCCAGGAGGGCATTGCTTGTGACAGGAAGAATTGTATTGGTAAGGCAATTCCTCTGAACATGTATGCACGCAATTAAAACGATCAGAAACTGTGTTCACTGGACAACGTTCTTTACATACTAAATCATAACAATATGGCGTGGATGAATTACAGAATCGTTCGGGACACTTTATGGTGTTGTCGGGGATGTTCGGCAGCTTCTTCAATCTGACACAGTCATTGGAATACATTACTACGTAGTCATTCGGGCAATAAGCCACACAGGTGGTCATGTTATAAAGGTACGGGACATCCTGTGGACAGCGTTCTGTACAAACACTTGTAAACTCTACTTTCTTCAAACCTTGAGGACAACTATCAAGACATCGTCCATTGTACTCCTGCAGGTATTCAGCACAGGGATGAACCAGCCAAATGTTCTGGAACATAATTAATATCCACTTCATACAAAATATTTTAATAAGCAGTGAGGATGAAGTCATTCATTATATAACAAGAGGCATAGAGGGTCAGTATTGCTCTTATATATATTAAATACAATATTGCAAATTATCCTCATTAAAGTCAGTATTGGACATATTTCCCTCAATGTAGACTCGGTTGCTGTTGTTCCAAGGATGCTTCATAGCAAATCAAGTTGAGACCGTATATATGTGTATATATATGGTTAGAGAATGTCAATAAATGGGGCCATATATCCCGGAGCTAGTCCTGGTAGCATGTTGTTTTCTTGTTATTACCTACTGGTCGAATATTCGGATCCTGCAACCTATGCTATTGATGAAGATTTCAAAAGATGTTCACCGTTGTTAGTTTATGCTTACATTTGATCCCAGATTGGGTTCAATTTTTTTTTTTCATAAACACAATAAATTAGAAGATAGGTCAGGTAGGTCAGGTGTCACTTAAAAAAGGAGACTCCATAGGACTCCGTTATACATGTACATACTGGCCAAATGTCAGGAGTTTTCATGGAAAATTTACACGGTATTTATTGACGAGGTAGTTTTCACGACATTTTACAGGAACTTTCAATTGTTTCATTTACTCTATTCACAATTCACTTCCATGTAAGGCTGCAAAGAATTTTTGTATCGTATTGAATTGTTTTGTTTGCCTGCAATGCCTCACTTTTGGCCTTTAGTTGAGCATTCGCCCCTGTGAGGAAGGCCTTGGGTTCTGTCCCCCCCCCCTTGCAGCAACACACTAGAATCTGTAAAAATGCTAGTTTCTACTCCCGCTTAACGCTCAGCAATTCAGGAGTGGGACGACTGGTTCGCCCGTTGTTAGTATAATGTGACCGGGTGGGGTGTCCTGCTGGGTGTCTTCAGCAGTATGTTTCAGTAAGGTAGCACTATAAAGTCGGAGTCAGTTCCGTGCTATCACAAGGAGACAAACATGAACATATCGCAGCCTCCCAAAACACATACACTATACGCATGCATCTTGCACAAACTGTATCGCGAACACTAACAGTACTTAAATAATCAATCGATTTTTATCATACTCTAAAAACGTGTACTTATATTGATTGAATACTTCAGTTACGATATGGTCCACTGTGCACTCATACCCAAAAGTACAAGAAATTATACAAAAAATATCTTTCGATAGTATTTACTATTGAAGTCTATGACATGACAAAACTCGATAAAATTGCATTCAATCATTAAATAGTTTACCTTTGAAGCAAATTGGTTTGGTTTGATTTTATCTTGTTTAACGTCCTATTAACATCTAAGGTCATTTAAGGACGTGTCTCCATGTGTGTTGTGTAAGCGTACAAGTGTGTTTGTATGCTGGAGACAGAGTATGTCAGTGTACTTTCCTCCATGTAATAGCGCGGATCTGATGCCGACTTTATAGTGCTATCTCACTGAAACACTATGCCGAAGGCACCAAGCACAGCATTCTGCCCGGTCACATTATACTGAAAACGGGTGAACCAGTTGTCGTTATTACCCTCAATGCTGAACGTTAAGCAGGGAATAACAACTACCCTTTTTAAGGACTATGGTATGTCCCGGCCTGGGGAAGGAACCCATTGCCTTTCTCACCTGGGCGAACGCTCAACATTAGAGCAAGAACTGAGGTATTGCCAAGCTAGTTAGAAAGAGAAAAAATATTCCCAAAGGGATCAAGATAAAGAGCGCAAAAGCGAATCCCCCAATTCTGCAGAGGGTTCCTACAATCGTCGCCTCTTACTATACATGCTGTGAGTAACAGCAGGTGTATTCTTTTCTCGATCCTCAGGGGTGTTGGAGCAGATATTTGTATCGTGTCGTTAAGTATGCGTATCGTTACAGATTATAGGCTACTTCCATTGGGTTTTCAGAGTGTGCCGTGATATTTAGGGTAAACAGGCCTTATTTCCTTGTCTGTTAAATGATTATCACTGCATGCTTTTATGATAAATCGTCACAGTAGTTTGGGTTAAGCGATTAGGTGTGTGATATTCAAATATATATATAGATAGATAACGAAAATACTTACATTAAATGCAAGGAACACCAGAAGAAGCGATGAAGGTTTTGCGGACATTTCTATCAATATGACCAAAGTTTTATTCACGTTTATGAGTTCCTCCAACCGATAATTTCCCTTAAAGGAAAAATATAAAACTGCTTTTTACTAAACTCCCTTCACTTAAATTCTCCCTAAGGACCCTTAGATTTGAGGAATCCTTTAAGCATTTAAGGCCCCATGCATCAACACTGCAAGCTCCTTAATTTCTTCAAAGATGTGTCGACAAGTTAAAAATCCAGTTGAAATACTACTTTCTTCTAGGATGGAAAACCCGATAACCCAGAAATATTTCCTTATGGTACTTCCGGTGAAGATATAGTTTCCTGTGGCGTTGCGTTTCTCCGGTTCGAATGCCTTCTATACCGTGCGGTTAGGAACATTTGGAGGTTTTGTTGCCACTTTCTTTTGATAATTAACAGGTAGGTACAAGTAATTACACAGGTAGGGTTCCAACTGTCTATGCTACAATTCTTCTACTTCTTCTCTCAAACAGCCATTTTCAATGCAAATTTTCAGCGGAAGAACAAAAACAACATTTAATGGGAGGTAACACCCGTAGCGGACAAAAGATGCGATTTGGAGCGCCTGGTTTGCATACGTTTATTTCTATGCAATGATACTAATGTTGGTATTCCGATATTAAAAGTATATGTACTCGTCACATTACACAGCCAGGGGAGTTTTCCCGTCACTTGTATTTGTACGGACAGTTCTCCACACCGAAAAATCCTACAATACATACTTTCAAAAAATACGAAACGAACTATGACTATTGACAGTTGAAACCGAAAGTACTGAAATAATTTTTCACACTCATTTCACACACACGCATACATGCACACTTATAATTGGGCTTTAGCCGATCAATCGATGACGTCGATCAGTAGGCCTACATGTATGATGAACTATGGATGCAGTGAAAACATGTCAGCCTATACGTCAATACACTGTCGGCTAGACTAGAGGCAGCGTAGGCACTTATCCCTAGATTAAGGGAGGTCGGCGAGAGAGAGATAACAGCTTATTAACATGCACAATATATCAGACAAGGAATGCATATAACATGAGGCCCGGCGTGGGGTAAATACGGAAATTTGTAAACAACTCTCCTGCCTTCAAACAGTTTAATTATAAATCGACAAGGATTTCCTACCCGAAACCACAGGCATTCATTTCTGGATCGAGGGGTATCGGGGAGGAGAAAAAAGTATGACAATTTGAAAACAACTCTCCTGTCTATATTTGCTTAGTTTGTTTTGATCACAAGCCGAAATTAAAAATGTAATTTGCGAGCGTCATGAAAGGAGTGAAAACACTCCTGCCTTCAAATGTTTTATTTCAAAACGATTTGGTTCACGATTTTATGTCATGATTGCCCAAAGCCCATATTTCACTACATGTCACGATTAATACATCTTTCTTTGCAACAAAATAGACATCAATCCAGCAGTTATAACGAACTGGTTAACAGAAGTGACGTCATTATCGTTTTCAGAATCAATTTTGCGTTAGGTTTGTCCTCCAACAGTAAAAAAACTATAAAGTAATTACACTCTGTCTGCAGCAATTAATATGTTGCTAAGCCGAAATAGGATTGGGTTGAATACATTCGTTCCTTGTGTCTATCTTCCAATCAGCCCAAATCCGCGTCTGGCTAGTTCTACAGGCAATATATCGGTTCATATATATAAGAGATGAACACAATTAGAAATAAACGTTGGGACATTCTTGATGCAGGTACGTACTGATTTGAAGGCAGTAGATCTGGAGCTGTTTACAATCGCATTTTTACCCCACGCCGGGCCTCATGTTGTATAATTTAATGCATATCCAGTCATGAAGTGCAAAACCTTGTCTAGACATTATACATGTACACGAACCCCTTTCTCCTCCCTGATCTCACTCAATCCACGCTAGATACCGATCGACCTTAAGAGAAAGTCTTTCTAGCCGAGTAAGTAGGAATCGGATAATATCTATCAACGACAATAATACAAATTTCAAAAGGCCGATGAAAGCTTAACAAAATCTCAATCATCATGGTCAATTTGCATCCGCATCAACCTTATCACATGAGCTTAATATTTATGATATTTTATCGTACGACAAAACCTAGTCGTCATACAATACAATAACTTAAATCTTTTACTAAAATTATGTATTGATCGAAACGAGCTCATGAGCTGCATACTTAACTCTAATGCCTATTTATGGAACAAAGCGACAGCCTATCTATCGGTGTACTAAATGCGTGAAGAAATATAGAGTGTAATCTACAGCTTGGTGCACTTGGTAGATGCTCTAGTTATTTCACACCGTCTGTGTTCTTTACATTTATTGAAAAATACACTACGATACAAACGTGTATGTTATTGACTGAAAATAAACAACTTTATCTTACACTTATATGGAATCCGTGATTTTACCAGATCAACTCCCCATTCTTTGGTTTACGTTTGTTTAACCCCCATCAAGTTCTCGAAAACTTCACTTTCGGTCTACATGATCTAAAAAATGAACTTTCCTACTTCTATCCAGTTGGACTCCTTTTCCTATTCCATTTTTATTTGTGACATGATTGTAGCAGAAGACGTCTGCTTGTTTAGAGAAAATGTTATACTTGTTCTCCGAAACAGTGGCGTTAATATGCGCCTAGCTCCGCGCTCTAATTTCAGGGAATTTCCTTTTCATAATTCAACTGTTCGTTTTATGCGTTATTTGGTCTGGGCGTATCGTCGTAAGTATCAAAATTGCACTTTTGTGGTGCTTTTTTTCTAAACTTATAGTTATAGAAATCGATGCAATTGTAACAGAGCCAGTATAGACGAGAATTTGTGCGCAAAGCTAAAGTGAAAATCGATAACTCTGCTATGTAAAATTTATCTAGGTTAAGCGACAGCGTATTGGTTTGCTGTTCTATTTTCGTTATCCCAACACAAAATCCGTTTTCAATAACTTACGTTTTACTGTGACAAACCGGCAGTGAGTAACTGAAACAGCTTGATACTTTTGTTTGTTTGTTTGATTTTGTTTAACGTCCTATTAACAGCTGAGGTCATTTAAGGACGGCCTCCCCTGTGTGCAAGATGCAGACGTGTAGTGTATGTGTGTGTATTTTGGGAGGCTGCGATATGTTCGTGTTTTTCTCCTTGTAACAGCGCGCGAACTGGTGCCGATTTTATAGTGTTACCTCACTGAAAAATACTGCCAAAGACACCCAGCAGGCGAACCAGTCGTCCGACTCCTAATTTGCTGAGCGTTAAGCAGGAGTAGAAACTACCATTTTAAAAGACTTTGGTATGTCTCGGCCAGGGGACAGAGCCCAAAGCCTTCATCACAGGGGCGAACGCTCAACAAATGGCCAAAAGTGAGGCATTGTCAAGGGAGACATTAGGAAGAAGAAAGTAATTTAGAAAGGAGAGAAGAGATAATGTCCCAAATTTAGTCGCCTCTTCCGATCATGCAATTGGGGGCAGCAGGTACAATTCTTACGCCCTACCTGCAGGGGAACAGCTTGGTACGATTGTCTTTACAAAAACAATGCTCAGATACATATACTTATTACTTGCACTTTGAGTAGGAGTATACTAGAGCAACACTAGTCTGGGTTTCATAGGTAAACATATACACAACTATCATAAACCCAGAAGTCCAACATATAATCATATAATGTTATGGAAGAATAGCAACGTGATTTTACACATAACACCTACTTATCTTCAATGAGATTGATCAGTTTTGAAGTATGTAATATCAAAGTTTTGCTTTCTACACAAACAATGTACGTATTAAACGTGTCGCGACGTTTCAGCTTGACGTCATAGCTTGACAAAGGGATCAGTCGGCCTTAAAACGTTGGGACACGTTAAATACGTCCATTGTTTGTGTAGAAAGTAAAATTTTGATATAACACCTACTTGTATTGTTGCAGTCACGCATTTCTGGATATTTCCAAGAAATTTAGCTAGTACATGTAAATAAATAAAATGTCGGACCTAAGTTAACTCACTTTTCCCCTATCATTTTGACAACAGTGACAAAAGACCCTAATACATTCACGTTTTATCTCTCATTTTGACAACAGTGACGAAAGACCCTAATACATTTAAATGTTACCTCTCATTTAGACAACAGTTTTGTAACACCCTAGTACATTCACCTGTTATCTCGCAATTGGACAACAGTGACGTAAGACAATAGTATATTCACATGTTACCTCTCATTTGGACAACAGTGACGTAAGACCCTAGTACACTCACTTGTTACCTCTCATTTGGACAACAGTGATGTAAGACCCTAGTATATTTATTTGTTTACTCCTTATCTGGACAACAGTATTGTAAGACCCCTTGAGAAGTCACCTGTTATATCTCATTTGGACAACAGTGATGTAAGACCCTAGTACATTCACGTTCCAAATATTTCAGCTTGGTTCCACTTCTGAAATGATCAGCGATGGAAGATGAAGAAATAACACCCCTCATTGACGATGAAGAGTTTTCAATCCGTTCCCTGTCACCAGTGCAGACTGAAACTTTACCCCTCCCATCCGGAATTGAATATCATCTATTTGTGTCATGCCAAGAAGCAGATGCCAGCATTGCAAAACAGTTGATACATGACCTGGAAACGCGATTTCAGTTCAGGTAAAGTATACATAATATTAGTCGTCAAATTTATAAGGTGCAGTCGCATATGTCATCTTTCACGATACTCCGTGGTGGAGGTTTTTAGTCTACGAGGTTTGCTGTAACCTTGATGCCCATGGCTATCTCTTTTGAGTTGCGACATGGTTTATAATATACATACTTTACAAGGTATTTAATATGCAATAAACCAGTATTCCTCAATTTGTTTTAAAATTAATACACTAAGGGATTTTACACAACTTCCCCCAGTTTCAAAAATAGATTAGATATTTTTGATTTCCAAATTTTGGCCCCTTGCATCACCAATGAATCCTTGAAGGACGAAACAGCTGAAGTATACAATGTAATTTTAATTTTTGCAAAATGTTTATATTACCAAATTTTAAAGGTGTACTCGTGTGTGTGTGTGTGTGTTACGTTCATCTTTTGAAACAAAACATTGTGTGAAATGAATTATTAACGCCATATTTTTCAGTTTGTGGCTTGTTTACCTTCAGAAAAGGGGCCGAGTTCAACACGATTGGTTTGGTTCAGTATTGTTTAACGTCCTATCAACAGCTATGGTCATTTAAGGACGGTCTCCCCTGTGTGCAAGATGCATGCGTGTAGTGTATGCGTGTGTATTTTGAGAGGCTGCAATATGTTCGTGTTTGTCTCCTTGTGATAGCGCGGAACTGATGCCGACTATATAGTGCTACCTCAATGAAACATACTGCCGTAGAAACCCATTATACTGACAACGGGCGAACCAGTCGTCCCCCTCCTACATTGCTGAGCGTTAAGCAAGGAGTAGAAACTACCATTTTTACAGACTCTGGTTTGTCTCGGCCAGGGGACAGAACTTAAAGCCTTCCGCACAGGGGCGAACTCTCAACTAAAGGCCAAAAGTGAGTCATTGTCAATGGAGACATTAGGAAGAAGAAAGCTGTTTAGAAAGAAGAGAAAAGATAAGAACCCAAATTTAGTCGCCTCTTACGATCACAAATAATATCATCTTTTTACATGATACGTAGTTTTAAACCACGGTAGGTGGGCTGAATTAAGCCACGGTCGTATCATAAATAAATGCAATGTGATAATTGTGGTAACTAAAACCACCAATATATTTGTATTGGTTCATGTCTTTTAATGCCAATCAAATGCATTGATTTCAATTTTCTTCACCTTCAAAACAATCAATGAAATTTCTACAGCAGGTTATTTCTGTACTGTTATTATTTCCAATCTTAATATGTCCCTGAAACCATAATCAACAGCCAATGAAGCTGATATGGAGTTGAATTGACAAAAAAATATCATGTATTTGAAGTTAAAGACATTCCGATACTTCTTTGAATTGCATATCAATTTCCTGGCCCGTTTTCCCACAGGTGTCCCGTTCGGGGTACACTGAAGGCGGTGATATTAAATTAATATCAATGAAAACATTGACAAACACTTTAGTGACGAACTGTGATGATATCAATATCAACATTGACAAACACTGTAGTGATGAACTGTGATGATATCAATATCAACATTGTCAAACACTGTAGTGATGAACTGTGATGATATTAATATCAACATTGACAAACACTGTAGTGATGAACTGTGATGATATCAATATCAATATTGTCAAACACTGTAGTGATGAACTGTGATGATAGTAATATCAACGTTGATAACACTGTAATGATGAACAGTGATGATATCAATATCAACATTGACAAACACTGTAGTGATGAACTGTGATGATATAAATATAAACGTTGACAACACTGTAGCGATGAACTGTGATGATACATAAGTAAATTTTAATTACGACAAATGAACCGGTTGAAATATATAAAAGAAGATTTAGACTTGATACTGTACACCGGAAAAATCAAACCCATTATAACATAAACCCTACGGCGGTAAAGGTCTTGAACATTTGATAACAATGTTTGATATTTTTGTTTATTAATGTAGGTGAATTTATTTTACCGTATAAGATAACCTTGTATTTGAAGCGTTCGGATCAGATTAAGAGTTCGTCTTTATCTTATTTCAGATGTTTGTATGGAGACAGGGATTTCGAGCCGGGCAAAAGAATTTTGACAAATGTTGTGGAAAGTGTTGCGAAATGCATGAAATTTCTGCTTATTCTAACGCCAGCATATTTAGAAAGCGGCTTTTGTAAAGTAGAAATGCAACAGGCATGCCACCATTTTGTGCGTAACAATATGGAAGGGTGCATGGTGTGTCTTAAACTGGTGGATTGCGAAGTACCCCATGAAATAGCTGACGTCACATATATAGACGGATATGACATGTCAATGAAATACATTGCACGGAGGGTTTTGGACGCCTTCCACAAAAATGGTAAGATATCAAATATAAAGTAAAACCTCAATATAATGCCCCTCGTTTTCATTTGCCACCTCGCTCACCGCCAATATCTTTCGATATTACTTTTCTTGATTCTTATGAATTCATCTAAATATTTCCTCAATTTATCTCCAAACTCCTTTATAACGACAACATCTCTCTGGGCCGATGGTGGCAGTATAAACAAGTTTTATTGTACACGTATATTTTTAACTGACATTTTACAAATTCAGAGACATGGTGTATATCAGAGTAAGAGTTTATATGATATACAGGTATAATTATATATTCTATTTTATTAATTAAGGATTCGTCAAGTATCATATCAAGTATCATATCAATACATATTTGTTATGACAGGTCGGTCGATTTCGTATTTCAATTGACAAGTAACAATGTGCAGGTAATGAAACGTCTTGTATAACTTTAATGCAAAACTATATGACGACTTCAACCACACCGCAAATGACGATGACAGTCTTCTAACCGTAAGTTTGCTCTGAGGATTATGAGGCGTACATTTACAATGATTGTCTTCCGACTCTTTTTTTCTGAGTTTGAGCTGTGGTATATATACTATGTATGAATTTAAAAAAAAATCATTTGACAGTAATCATACTTCGATGAAAATTACTTTATGGGTATTTTACAAATTTACAAGTTTTGGTGGTCGGGTGGTGCAGTGCATAGTGCACTTGCCTTTCACCAAGGTGGCCGGGGTTCGATTCCCCAATCGGACGAGAAAAGGTAGGAAGTTACCTGCCCGATCACGTGGGTTTTCTCCGGGTACTCCGGTTTCCTCCCACAATAAGACCCCGTGCGCTAACATCCGGGCCCACAAGAACGATTTATATAAGTATTATAACTTGTTTCATAGTTGTTGTAAAATGAGTAAAGTTTACATTTACTACTTTTCAATACAAATCTCTCTGACAAAACATGTAATTGGTAACTGTTATTGATATAAGTTTATATATCATGCATTTGTTATTTTATTTTACTAGAAACGTGCACACTGCTAAGTCGCAACACAAATGGAATGGAATTACTATATAGCAGTGTTACGAAAAGCAACAAAAGTCGATGGATCGGAAGTCGATATCATTTCGACGAAATTCCATTGAGCAGAGGTGATTGCAATGTACATGTAAGGCACATACATTTATATTACTATTTTTATTACGAGTTGCGGTTTTAAAGCTTTATTATATATATCAGTGACCACGTCAAATTACAACTTAAGAATGAAACCAATAATTCAGTGTGTGTGAAATATTTGCCTTACTTTGTTATGTTCAAATGTCTTTCTAATATAAATACTTTACCAGAAACATTGTAATTAATTGTAAAGACATATAATGACATTGTAGACATTGCTAAGACATTAAACAATGTCTGTATAACATAAATACTTTACCGGAAAATATCTAATTTGTTTTTCAGGCACATAATTCATTGCCGAGACATAAAACTAATGTCTGTATAATATAAATACTTTACCAGAACATATGTAATTAATTGCTTAACATAAAGACATTGCTAAGACATATAACTAAAGTATATATCATACAAATACTTTACCGGAAAATGTGGAATTACAATGTAGTTGTTAAGGCACATTTCGTTATTACTAATGCATTTATCAATGTATATATTATATAGATACTTTACTAGAATATTTAAGTTAAGGTCATTGGAGTGTATTGATAAACGGAAACAGGAAGTACATCCCTAGTTGAAAATCCAATGTAGGGAGACAGTATCACAATTTCCGCAAATTCTAATGTTTAATATTAAACTGATGAATATTGCATGTTTATTATTGACAGAACAGTGTGGTCTCTCAATATTAAAGTATTTCAAAGCAATCCAGGCATTAATTCAGTGGGTTTTTTTTATCAATGAGTCACATGTGTCCATTTTTTTGTACTTCAGGAACCCGGCTACCTATTTCACTACTGTGAAGTTTTTCAAGAACGATAACTCTTACCTGCAATTACTATGTGTATATGGTTTTATTATAAAATGTCAATTTTTATATTGTGTATAGAGAATTAATTTTACACAATTTCAGCATTTATTAAATTGATATACATTAATGCAATACTAATATATGTCAGTATCATTTTTATTGACATTATTTTGTAAAAATATTGTGTCTTTCATTTTTTTTTCAAAATTCACTACTTTTTACATAAATTTCCATTTAAAATCCTTAAAATTCTGACAACCTATATTTTCTTTGTGGCAGAAAATGTTCTTTACTTTAAAGCAATATAACTACAAAATTTGAAGAAATTCTACTGAGAAATGGTGACACAATCCTATTACCATAATTGCTAAGCGTTTATACATTGCTAAGTCATGAAATCAATGTCTTTATTATATAAATACTTTACCGGAATATATGTAATTAATTGATATGGCACATTAAGAAATAAATAATTAACCGGACACTTTGTAACTAATTGATAAGGCACATTAAGAAATAATTATTTAACCGAAACCTTGTAATTAATTGATAAGGCACATTAAGAAATAAATACTTAACCGGAAACTATGTAATTAATTGTAAAGGCAAATAAAGAAATAAATATTTAAACGGAAAATATGTAATTAATTGTTAAGGCATATAAAGTATTCAAATCATGCACTTAATTATGCCTGTCCGATGTAATTCGGTGACATTTTCGCTTATCACTGTTAATTGTTAGCAATACTCCTGTTGTCAACACTGTCAACCTAACGTCTGCACACATACGGCATTAGGCTAAATACGCATACACTGTTTCCCTAGTTGTGAGTACAGTCAGCTTATCAATCCTATATATACGGCAATTAGTCCCGTCACCAACACACTGTTTCTTTAGTTGTCACTTCAATTGTCGGCACTGTCAGCTAACATTTCTATAAATACGGCATTTAATTTCATTACCAACACACTGTTTCTCTAGTTGTGAGTACTGTCAGCTTATCAATCCTATATAAGTATACGACATTCAGTCTCAACACCAACACACTGTTTCTGTAGTTGTCATTTCAGTTGTCAGCACTGTCAGCTTAACATACCTATATAGAAATGTTAAGCTAATAGTGCTGACAATTGAAGTGACAACTAAAGAAACGGTGACAGGTGACGGGACTGACTGCCGTATTTATAGAAATGTTAAGCTGACAGTGCTGACAATTGAAGTGAAAACTAAAGAAACAGTGTGTTGGTAATGGGACTGAATGCCGTATTTATAGAAATGTTAAGCTGACAGTGCTGACAATTGGAGTGACAACTAAAGAAACAGTGTGTTGGTAATGGGACTGAATGCCATATATATAGAAATGTTAAGCTGACAGTGCTGACAATTGGAGTGACAACTAGAGAAACAGTGTGTTGGTAATGGGATTAAATGCCGTATTTATAGCAATGTTAAGCTGACAGTGCTGACAATTGGAATGACAACTAAATAAACAATGTGTTGGTAATGGGACTAAATAACACCTAATAATACCGTATTTATAGAAATGTTAAGCTGACAGTGCTGACAATTGAAGTGAAAACTAAATAAACAGTGTGTTGGCAATGGAACTAAATAACACCTAATAATGCCGTATTTATAGAAATGTTAAGCTGACAGTGCTGACAATTGGATTGACACCTACTAATGCCGTATTTATAGAAATATTAAGCTGACAGTGCTGACAATTGGAATGACACCTAATAAAGCCGTATTTATAGAAATATTAAGCTGACAGTGCTGACAATTGGAATGACAACTAATAATGCCGTTTTTATAGAAATGTTAAGCTGACAGTGCTGACAATTGGAATGACAACTAAAGAAACAGCGTGTTGGTAATGGGATTAAATGCCGTATTTATAGAAATATTAAGCTGACAGTGCTGACAATTGGTGTGACAACTAAAGAAACAGTGTGTTGGTGATTGGACTGCATGCCGTATGTATAGAAATGTTAAGCTGACAGTGCTGACAATTGGAATGACAACTAATAATGCCGTATTTATAGAAATGTTAAGCTGACAGTGCTGACAACTGGAATGACAACTAATAATGCCGTATTTATAGAAATGTTAAGATGAGAGTGCTGACAATTGGAATGACAACTAATAATGCCGTATTTATAGAAATGTTAAGCTGACAGTGCTGACAATTGGAATGCCAACTAAAAAAGCCGTATTTATAGAAATGTTAAGCTGACAGTGCTGACAATTGAAGTGATAACTAAAGAATTAGTCTGTTAGTAATGGGACTAAATGCCGTATTTATAGAAATGTTAAGCTGACAGTGCTTACAATCTGAGTGACAACTAAAGAAACAGTGTGTTGGTGATGTGACTGAATACCGTATTATATACGGGCGCCCTTCAATCAATCACCAACACATTGTTTCTTTAGTTGTCACTCCAATTGTCAGCACTGTCAGCTTAACATTTCTATAAATACGGCATTCAGTCCAATCACCAACACACTGTTTCTTTAGTTGTCACTCCAATTGTCAGCACTGTCAGCTTAACATTTCTATAAATACGTCATTTAGTCCAATCACCAACACATTGTTTCTTTAGTTGTCACTCCAATTGTCAGCACTGTCAGCTTAAAATTTCTATAAATACGGCATTTAGTCCAATCACCAACACACTATTTTTTTAGTTGTCACTTCAATTGGCAGCACTGTCAGCTTAACATTTCTATTTAGTTGTCACTCCAATTGTCAGCACTGTCAGCTTAACATTTCTTTAAACACGGCACTTAGTCCCATCACCAACACACTGTTTTTTTAGTTGTCACTTCAATTGGCAGCACTGTCAGCTTAACATTTCTATTTAGCTCGGAAAGCACGTGTACGGAAAGTTCGGGAAAACGAGAGTAAATTGGTACTATACTATATGAAGGCTTCAAAAACTTTCGTCCTTCCGGTCGTACAGGCTCGCAAAAAAACGTGACTGCATTGGTGTTCTTTTTTACACAAACAATTAATTTGACACCTCGTATCTCATTCCTTCAGAACGACAACATTATAAGACTCGTTTATGCCTAGGGGTGCAGGATAGGGAAATTCCACCAGAGGGGTTTTCAAACATGGTAAAACCCGAGGGTGGAATTTCCCTATCCTACACCCTTGGGCATGAAAGACAACAACCAGAATAAGCTCAGAAACCACGAAAATACGTTTGAACTGGCACCGTTTTGAAAATATCATATTTTTCCATGAGCTTTTGAGACGAAAATAAATTTCTCAGTCAGATTAAGCAAACCCCATATTGGCAAACGGAGTTTGCGCAGAAAAATTGATAACATCTTTCTAACGTATATAGTTTATATAGTAAAAGGTTTTAATTTCATTACGTCGCTTTTTCCACATTGCGGTATCGGAGATATACAAATTCATGACGTCACGTCATTGTTGAGCCATTGTGACGTCACGTCACGTGGAATGGAGTGTAAGATAGAAATTTCCTACACCCCTTTATTACCCTGGACAGCTTTATCTTACACACAGGGAAATGAGAGAACCCTATTAACATCTCATTATTACAGAATGACAACATACCTATTTACGTCGGAATCCTACAGAATGACATTATACCTATTTATATCTCAATCTTACAGAATGACAACATACCTATTTATATCTCATCCTACAGAATGACAACATACCTATTTATATCTCAATCCTACAGAATGACAGCATACTTATTTATATCTCAGTCCTACAGAATGTATATGGCAGGATATCCCAAATCGTGGAAACTACTGCCCATGTTCCCGATGGTATGTGAACATATTTCACACGTGAAATGAAACACGTAATAAAAGGTGTTGCGACTGGTTTAATCCGTGGGGAAATATTCCTACGCCACTACAAAATTGTAATCTTTATTTACTGTTTATTTCTGATAAGGTTATTTTTTTGCTTTTGAAATATTTTGAAACGTCTTTTTAGTCATTATTATTTTTATAGCCTTTAACATAGTTCCCTATTAAAAAAATATATTCTGAAACTTCTTTGCACTGTGCGGAACTACAATGCTATTATCGGAGTACTTTGGTTTTGACCCTTAATGAGTTAGCTGATGACACATAATTGTGTTTGAAATTACTTTTCAAATCATGAAAGTTATATGACAAATAGAATCTTACATCCGTGTCCATGTCATATTGAATTTATTAAACTCGTTCAATAATTTGATATGACACTTACTTAAAGACTCGTTTCATATTAAATTATTGAACTCGTTAAATAAATTCAATATGGCATATACACTCATGTACGAATCCCTAGTTATGCTTACTATATAAAAAAAAAAAGGTGCAATTAAAGTTAAATATATATCATCAAAAAATCTTTTCAAAAAGGAATACATTTTAAAAGTTGTATTTGGTTGTTTTTGTAGGAGGATGGAATTGTTCTGTTCCGGAATATCAAAGACGAAATCAACACATTTTGGTGGGTGAGATTTCTGGGTAGTTTGTGTTCAAAACGACTCATGTGCTTTCTACCATGTGGTTTATTCTGTTGTACAATGCTTAGCTCCTTCGCAGAATCTATTTTCCGCAGAGAAAATGTGCCTGGAAATTTCAACTTAGCGGTTGGTCTAGCAAGCCTGGGCTTGATTTATTTGACTGTATTAGGATGTGTCCTGATACATATAGTAAGTATACGGTTTTCTCACTGAACGGTGTTAAGAAATTAGTGTATATTGGCACATGAAAGTAATTATTTCACAAGTATACCTGTTCAATGTTGGGAACCTTCCTTTATCAGTTGAACGTGCGAAGTTATAACTGGACGTACGGGAGATAATACTAAACCAAAGCAACTTCATTAATGAAGCTTATATTAATTAATGTGATTACATAACATAACGTAAATGGTTAGGAGGATAGCGCTACAGTCATCTTTAGTTGTATTTTCCTGAAATGTGCATGGCGATAGCTTATTCCATAATTCTATATTTTTCACCATAGGCCAATGTACCATGATTCATAAAAGGCACTTGAAAAAGATAAAATACAGTTTTAAGAATTGTACATCATCTTCAGTGGACTTTCGTGAATTGTACATCATCTTCAGTGGACCTTCGTGAAATGTACACGGTTTAGAAATGAAGTAGCAAGGCTTACATGCTTACAGTTCCAAATTCATTTTCGTATCCATATACAAATACATATTTTCATCCTTAGGCAATGAATAAAGGAACCCATGCTACATATCTAATAACTTGTTAAAAATCAACTTATAATTTACAATATGAATAATAAATTAAAGCAGTGTTTCATGTAGATATTTTATGAGTCAATACATTAATGTCTCAGTCTCAATAATTCTTTTAAGCAGGAGCACCCCCCCCC